CCTCTCCCCCTAGCACTGCAGGATTGGGGCTGGGTGCAGGCTGGGGAGGATGGGTCTCACCACCACACCCCCCCCCTCATCCAACACAGGGCAGACCGGGCCACAGTTGTTTCTGGCTGCAGATGTTTGGGACAGTTCCCTGTGCAAGGCCCCGTGTGGCTTCCAGAGGCACGGCACGGCTCCCAGTGCCACCAGACACGTGGCTGCTGGAAGACTCCTTTGGGGTTGATGTGGGGAGGGGGACACGTGCCCCATGTGCACTGGATGAAGGGCTGGTGGTGCCCCAGCAGCAGCACCTCCACCCACATAGAGCAAAGAAGTGGTCTGTGGTGAAGTTATTACTCTGCTTACACCTCTGAATAAGATGCTGGCTGTTCTTTTGGTATAAAAATAAATGGTTTCTAAGATGTAGCGTCACCTTTGCTTTGAAACAAATTGAAATGGAAGGGTTTGCAGCTGCATAGAGGATCTCTCTGGGTGCACCTGCAACAGCTACGGCCAGAGTGATGTGCCTGTCCTGGAAAGTCCTGGGCATCTTCAGCAATGCTTTACTGCTGCACCCCGTGTTTCCTCTCCTTCATGGGGTATCACAGCACAGCTGCCTTGCAAAGAAAAAAAACCACAAACAAACCCCCAAAAAACCCACCAAACCAAAACACAACCCAAAAAAATCAATCCTCATCTGCAGTGAAGCTGACCTGTCACCAAGATTATAAGCCTCCCACTGTCCAGCTTTGTGTACAGCTGGGGAGGGGACTAATTCACACACCCAGCTAAATTTAGCTCATGCCCTCAGGCTCCTTCTAAGGGCAGTGGCAAGCAAGCGAGGATGGCATAGCTCAACCAACAAACTCCTCGTCCAGCTCATCCCTGGGAAAAGCCTGGCTTTCCCATGCTGCTGGCACATGCCTGGACACACACCTGCACAACTCCACATACTAACACAGGCAGCTTTATTATAGGTGAAAGGGGGGTTTTTTGGCCTGCTGGGGCAAAATCTCCACTCACTGCTGCTAATGGGGGTTAATTCTCTCCCATCCATGGGGCATTTCCCCAGGGAAAGGGTGTTTGTGCTGCGTGTGCAGGCAGGCTGGGCTGGACAAAAAGCTAGTGCACGGGAAGAGAGCTCAGACATGAGGGCTGAGGGAGTAAACCTGTAGGAAGAGGTAGCTCTGGCTGCATCTCAGATTGGTGCTCAGGCCCCACCGTGGCATGGGACGATGCCCACTTGCTCCTGGCTGGCTGCTTGCCCCATAGGAGGAAAACACTGGGTGCCAGTGCCATCTGATGTGGTAACCCCCAACACTGACCCCTCCAGCATGGGCTAAGTCACCAAATGTTTCCATGCCATACAAACATCCGTCAGCAAAACGTGGCTCATTCCAGATAACCTCATGAGGTTGCTCTTGCATCAGGGGGTCAGGACGGAAGAGCCTGAACCGTGCCTGGCATTTCCCCTGCCCCAGCCTTGCTTTGTGCGGGGGCCCCATGCCTTATCGAGTTTTATCACCCAGCTGAGCTCCTGCATCGAGGGCTGGCGGCACTGCTGGGAAAACACTGATTGTGCAGGAGTCGGGAACTACAAAAGGTTTGTGGGGCAGCTCTGGAGGCGTGGGGTTTTAATGCAGATACCAGTGTTGATCCAATTTATTACCATGGGAACAGGCTAGCCAAGGCAATTCACATTCATTACTTGGGGAGGACTTCAATCCCTCTCTGCTGTAGCGCTCTGAAAAAGAGGAATGTATTCATTTTTTATGATGCAGGACAAAATATTTGGCAAGTGCAGTGTTCTCCAGAGGAATTTGGGAAGTCAGACTACAGCATTTAGCAGTTGGGATCTGGAGTTTGTCAATAGTAACAAAATTGGTTAAATTGGGTCACACCTACAACCACACTGAGCCGCCTCCTCCCCACGTTAACAATCACATAAGCTAATACATAAAATGTTCCTATTTGAAGTGTCAGGCAGTTTGTGGGTGAGCTAGGGCGTCTCACAGGTGTGCAGCACAGAGCACAATCTGTCACTTTTAGCACAATTACTTGGGTTTCTGGTTGTGGCCTCTCCCTGCCACCGCCTCATCTCCCACTCCTCCTTGTGCAGCAGACAGCAGTTTTGCACTGCGGGTCCCAGTTGGCTTGCAGCAGCCTCCTCCACGCGGCCCAGGGTGGCAAGCTCAGCCACAGCATGGAAAGCCACAAGCGCAGCATCAGCCACGGCTGGCTGGAGAACAGGGCTTGCGTGGGCCAGAGTAGCACACGAATCACTATTTTTTCAAACAGCTTACATAGTTAATGACTCCACTGCTGGCAGTGACTCAACATAGCTGGCCCCCAGGAGATAAAGCAGATAGAAAAGGGTTAAAGAAAAAAAAAAAAACAAACCCAAAAAACAACCAAACCCCAAAACCTAGCAGCATCAAGACAGACCTCTCATTGTCTTCACACCACAAACCACCAGCAGCAGCCTCTCCCCTCACAGAACAGCACAGAGCAGCATGGCCAGTTGCTCCAGCTTGCACATTTAGATCTCATTTGCTAATGGCAACCCTGTGAGCTCAGATTGTTGTCAAGGTGGGGTCTTGACAGCTCAAACATCATCTTTGCAAAGGAGGCAAGTAAAAATACCTGAATGAGGGTATGTGCTGAGTGCATTCGAGTGCTGGTGAAATGCCATTAAACAAAGTCTAATGTGTGAGATAAGTTTACCACACATTTTCTTGTCATCACCTGTAAAAACCATCAGCAGCCTCTCCCCAGCCCTCCCTGGCTAAGAATATGAGCTGCTTGCCAGATTTAGAAGAAAAAAAAAGAAAGAAAAATCAAACATGCCAACAGACACACAGTAGCAACACACAAGCAAACTGAGACCCCATCATTCTGTCCATGGTTTTGGTCTCAACAACTGGAACATCTGCAGACATCCCCAACAGGAGGAAGAGCAGCTGAGTACATCTGCGTGCAGCATGGGACAGGACCACTGCTATCAAGTCACCAGGACAAATCTGTGCTTTAAGAATTTGTCCTCTATCCACTGAATTTTTATTCCCCTCTAACAGACAATCAAGAGGACATTATTTCACCCAGAACAATTTAAAACTGTTAGCACCAGCCACCCCCACCTCCAAGCATTCTCAGCTTGTGATTACCGCATTTGCTTGCGCAGGCTGCTTCCCAAAACACCAGCACCCCTTACAGCACGCCCCAGACTTTGTCCGTAGGCACTAAGTGCACAAATGCTGACTGCCCCTTCATAGCTTCAGTGGCTAGCAACAAGTGGGAACATCACTCTTGACCGCAGGAATATGAAATACAAGCCCGTGCCAAGAAGGTACTGTGCTTGCTTTAATCAATGACATCCACAGTACTTCGGGAGCCAAAAAAAAAAAGGGATAGAGACACAGGTTCCTCCATGGCAGCAACAAAAAAAAAAAAAAAGTGCATTGCTTTTACTTTTTGAAGGCTGGCTAGAAAAGCAGCCACAGCTCTGCAAAGCCTCTCTAAATAACATCAAGCTCCACACATTGCTAAACAGTGACTCTATTTCACTAATGCTACCATTAGCATTAATGCTAGTTTATACATTTTTAGGAAGGTAGCAATTATTTTTAAATCCTAGCTGTGCTGGCCATGGGATAGAAACTCTTGTTCATTTTTACTTTTCACCAAACTCTTGTTCATTTTTACTTTTCACCATATTGGCCTCCAGTGACATTAACATAGCTGCACAGGTCAGGCAGGGTATATTAGTCTTCAAAAGTGTGGTAAGCCTGTGTGGAAGCAGTTACTCAATTATTATTAAAACTTTTGCAATTATTCCACTTAGATACATCATTACTCTTAAATTTTGTAGTAGATCTTTGCTAGCATAAAACAATGCATAAAGGAGACTAACATAGTACTCAGCAAATGTAAGTAACACGTGGAGACAGTGCATGTTGGACTTTGCATTATTCAGGCTAATAATTAACTGAGCAGAAAACTTAGAAACTTTTGTCTTCAGCAATTAGAAACAAGACAGGGCTTCCGACAGGCAAAGGTCAAAGCAAGCCTACTCATTAACTTAACAGCTTTGTTCCCTTGTAGAGGTAAGGATAAACATATCTCACCCATACCAAATAACTTTCTCTAAATCAGAAGAACAGATTACTTTCTATGGAGAGTAATAATGATCATAAACTGACCCGGAAACTAGCTTCTGAAGTCTGATGGATTAGGTCAGATTTTATTTTATTCCATGTTACCTATGCCTTGGCGTAACTAGCTCAACTGCAACTGTGACAGCTCCAGCTGCAATTCCATGACTGCAACTTCCAATTACACCCAGATGACATTTTCACAAACCAGAGTTGAAAATTTAAAAGCTACCTGATGCCCAAGTTGAAAATCATTGCTTACAGCTGGCTCCTAGAGGCTACATATACAACATCCTTCACCTGTCTTTTCTGCCCCACTGCAGTCTCAAACCCTCCCTTCGCAGATACTCCTTGGTCATCCACACACTCCCAGACATTCCACACTTTCACCTTCCAGCATCCTTACCTCCCTCTGTGTGCTTCAAACAGGCGCTTTAGCTGGGTAAACTGAAAGACAGATTAATTTAGGTTTTTTAGGCTCATTCAAGCTGCTTTTTTTTTTTGTTGTTGTGGGATTTGTTTGCTTGCTTTGAGGGGTTTTGTTTTGATTTTGGGTTGTTTTTTGTTTTATTTTTTAAATACGTGAGATTGGCTAAGCTGCTAAATCAGTAGGGAGTGAATTAATGGACACACATAAGCTCTGCTTATTTAAGAAGCTATGCTAAAAACCCTACACCTTTAGGACAAACCAGAAATTTATTTAATCAAAATAATTCGCAGAAGTTAAAAACAGAAGCTACACAATTGGCTGTTACAAAGGCTCATGTTCTCTCCCTTCCAAATAAAACCATAATTGCCACCATATAAAAAAAATAAATGTTTTAGGACTTCCACAGGAAGATTTTTTTGCCCCACAAATTTTCCATTTTTTACCATGGATCACAAGATCTACCTGCAAATGTGAAACATGCTCATTTTCTTAATTCTGTATGAGACCCTACCAAAGCAGTAACATGAAACTATCACCTGCATTATACTGTAGAACATGTTAAAAGTCACTGAAAGAATACAAGGGGTTTGTACAAGGCCTTACAGAAAGTCAGCATAAAGGATCAGTATGTGTAAGTGACATCTCTAAAAGATCTGATGTCAGTCATATGTTTGTCCTGCAAAACTACAGGCCACATTTGCACATTAAAACACACATTCTGCATTGGAATCTCATGATTCTTCTAGGACCTTGAAGACACCCATTTTTTCCTTTTTCATTTTTTCAGAGGTCTTCATTTGATCTAGGATTAAAAGAAAAAAAAAGATCAAGAATAATAGATGAAGTGCCTGCAACCTTCCTATGGCAGACAGTTTGCTACTAACAGTTTGTGCTTGAAGATATTTTTCAGTTCTGTGCATCAAGAAAAAAAATTCCGACACCTCTGGCTAAACCTGACTGGAGATAAGCAGTTTTAAAATCTGCCTGAACTAGTCTCATTTTCCTGAGAAGAGAACAGAATGCAGTAAACCTATTTAGTGAAGTTACTAGAAGAGCCCTAACTTTCTGTGTTTCTTCAAAGCAATATTCTTTTCTAAAGTTCAAAGACCTACATCTTGTTCTCCTAGCACTTGCAATCACTAAATTGCACTTACAGTGAATATAAAGCTAATGAAAAAAATATTGTCTTCACATCAAATTTAATAATGATGGCTTAGAGAGGTGGGAGCTGGCATTTCAGTTTTTAAAGCTTTAACTGCAATTAGCTGTAGTAAATATTCAGTACATAATGCTAGACCAATATCCTTGTATAAATATTTTTTGACAGCTTTATGTATTAATTTTGCTTAGTGTAGCCAAGAAAAAAAAAAGAATAAGCAACCATTATAAATATGATGCACACTAATAACACAAAATAAATGGCACCTTCTCCAACTTGGAAGGAGAAATCAGATTGTTTCATAGCCTGAACTTGTAAAGATAAAGACAGACCATATTATCAGTACATCAAGAATAATTTTCTATATTAGCAGTCAGCTGAAACGAGCAATTTTAGAAAACAATTTCCTAGATTATCTAAAGAAAAAGTTTTAAGTATGCTGTAGGAGAACTGTTGCTAAAGTTATTTTACTCAACGTATACATATCACACTTATTTAAGGCTAGCTATTATTTTTACTTCTAAATTCTGTCATGACTGATTTTTTTCTGTATCTACGCTTTGAGGCTCATCTCTCCTAAAAATGCTGAAGGAAACAAAGTATACTAAATCCACTGTTTAGACGAATTGGACAAGAATTTTTTCCTTTCTGAGAAAAGCTGTTTGTTTTTTTTAAATATGTTGGCCTGATCAAGCTCTAGAGTTTGCAGACAACCTCAAAAATTTGGGGTTTGGGGGGGGGTGTGGTGTGTGTGTGTGTTTGTTTGTTTTTTAATATTTGATCCACTGACAAGCTATAGTAACTCTGAAGAGCTCTATTTTTTTTTTCCCAAAAAAAAAATGTTAGACTGTATTTTGAATTATGATGGTATCAAAGCAGGTTTTTAAACAAGTTTGTGGAAATCAATCTTTTCTGAGAATAATTTCTATTTTTATCAATTACGGCAACTTACAGGGAAAATTGCTTTGCAGAACATCACCTAATCTATGCTTTTCATTCACAGTATGCTCAGGGCACACTATGCGTGAATGTGGTTGTCTGGAATACTTCTGTTTAAGTTCTGTTATTTATTCTTCAGCAAAACCTATTGGAAATGTCAGCAGAGGGGCCAAAGGGTCCTTCTTCAGGTGTCTAACACAACTGTAGGGACGTGAAGCTATGGCAGCTTTCTACATATGAAGACTGTCACAAAATATGAATTTACTGTTGAACAGAAAAAATAAACCAACCACAGATGAAAACTCTGACTTACCAATAAGATCACTTCTATCCAAGAGTAACTCTAGATCTTTATCACTGATTACTTTTTCTTTAGATCCTTTAACCTCCCTGTTGAGGAAGAAATAACCTCTCTTAATACAGCTAAAAGCATGTTACAGTTAGTATTACATAGAAGTCAGCTTTCCCACATAGCAGAATCCCCAGGACATTCTTTCCACTATGAAGATTCACATACCACTTCATAAGAGACGAGCACTATTGACAGCTGCTTGCAAGCTGCAAGTTACAAGCTTATGGTCCAAGAAAAATATGAAATCTGCATACCTCTCATAGTCTCTGGATTTTAATAATTCTATTAATTCCTGAGGGTCCAGGCAGCTCTTTGACTGTGCTAGACCAGATTTGCCACCTTTAAACTGATCTGTAGAAAGGAGAAATTGTAAGAAAGTACACAGAGACAGGAATAAAGTCTGTAAATTGTTAAATCAATGTTGGATGCACATATAGAACAAATTACTCTTGCACATCAAAATTAATGCTATGTTTCATTGTTTTAGCCCTCAGGTAAACACACCTTATGCTAATAGCCTAACTGGTGAATAAAGTCAGAGGTACATGAAGAGTTTACATGCAGGCCTTTCACCTTCTAGCTGTAGTATGCAGAAGAACTGATTGAAACACCAATTCAACATGCACACACGCACACACAAAGCAGAAAAGCCATTAGTGCTACTTACAGTAAAAACATTGTAAATAAAGTTAGATGGTGGATGCTGAAGTTTGTTCCCTTTGTATTGTAAGCTGGTTGAAACAAAGTAAGCAGTATTAACCACAAGATAGGAAATGTGTGAAAGATATGTGGTTTGCAGAGAGAACACCCCTCAGTTTAATGGACTAGACAGACACGACAAAAATAATACACCTGACAGAGGTTGGTTTCTTGAGTTGACTATGCTAACGCCTATCTACAAACAAATGGATGTTGGCACAAATATCCTAAAAGTTATACAAGACTATTACTTAACTGAAGCTGAGCACGGATGAAGTCAAGCTCAGTCTTGCACATTTCAAGGAGACAGGCAAGGCTTACTGTTCTGTGCCAGGTTTCCTCAGTTTTTATCAACACATATACCCATTTTATTAATGAGTTTTCATCAATCCTTTTCATCACACTGCTGTTCTTCCCTATACCTTGGTTTCAGGAGTCCTCCTCACACCTTTTCTCATCTCCCTCCAAGGACTGGCTGTTTGTCTGTAACGTGCAAGTCAGGTGCAAGTTCTAGAGGGGTTTGAGCTATAGGATTCTCTCTCCCACTAACATCTCCTGCTGTGACACACTGGATCCAGGTCCTGTCATGCATTATTAGTGATGCAGTCTCTCCCTTTTAGTTTTCAGAGTTTCACAAACTATATGGCATTGAATTACAGCTGTACAGGCCTTGTGTTGCAATAATAGCAACACAGAAAAATAAAGGCAACCATATCAAGCACTTAACCCTTTAAATAGAAATTTATGTCCATCACTTCCTCTCAGTCTGACAACTACTAATTTAACTAACATCACACTGGTTCTCATACAGTTTCCTAGGCAACCTTCTTCAATAAAACAGAAGCACAAGACAGAAAGAGTAACCTAGTGCTGAGGCCAAATAAGCATTCTGTTTTGCAACTAATTCCAGTTCATAAGGTCTAGTACTTCTACTGTACACATCCTACATGGTTAGACATCACTGAGAGGCCTGACCCAAGCTTTGTGGTAGCCCTTCTGCATTCGCTTATCCCAAGTTACAACATTTTTTTCAGCTATTCAAAATTACAGGATCCATTACATCACCTTTATGTTTACACAGTGGATTTAAAGGTTCCTGGAAGGGACACCCCTACCTAAGCTGCAAGATTTAGATATGATTCACCAATAGTTACCAAGATAAATCTTCAGCTTATTGCAAAACTGAAGGCATGACCCAACTTGACACTTAGCTTCCTTCCAGTACAATTAGTCCCAGTTCCCATTGCTAGTTTAGTATATGGCAGTCATCTGTTATTAGAGCCCATTCTGTTTTGTGCGCTCATATTGCCACTTTGGTTTTTTAGCTTCAGGATGGACCATAATCAAGTCATTGACAAACAAGTTTTTCTTACATAAATTGGTCATTAACATGCCTACAAAGAGTCAGACAGCACTTCTGGCAGTCACACTGAGACAGCAATGGCAAACAGATTACAAAGATAAAGGCTAAAGCTAGGATAAAGGAAGCATCTAACAAAGATTACTTAACATCATCCAAAACCAAAGGCAAACCACATCTTAGGCTTGACAATTTACAGGTTACAGTTACAGGTAAAGGCCTTTCTGCCCCTTTATGCCCTCATGAATTTCCCCCCCCCTTAATATACTAAGTTCTTAACCTCCTTTAAAGTTTAATATCCAGATAATTATCGTCAGAAGCCCATACTAAGTTACAAGAATTGTATTTTTCGAGTGAGCTTAGTGTCTGGAAAATGCTATAGGGAGTTACTGTCCAAATATCACAAACAGAACAAGCTATGGAAGCAAAGCAGGATTCCTATAGGACCCAAACAAGAGAAACTTTCCCCCAAGAGAGACACTTCAACTCAATCAATTTCTAAAGAATTTTGCGTATGACCAGCTATACAATCAAGAACACAACAAGAATCATCATTGTTCTGCACACAAACCCAAGGACTATTGTTCTATTCAGCACTGGTTAATTGTTCGAACAGGACTATTCTACTGTGGTTATAACATAGTGTTCTTAAATTCAGAAGGACAGGTGCAAACAGGATGCTGAAATTTTTTTTACAGTGATTTTACAGCTCCAGGATTTGCAATCTCAATCAAGTTTAGTATGAAACCCCCAGAAACCAGCTTTCTATAGCCTCTACTCATTTTACCAATTTTAATAGGAACACTCCCTACTCAAGCAAGTTTGCCAGTGCAACTGGGGGAGAGAAAAAAAAAAAAAATCTATCGCTAAACTTCTCATCATGAGACACTGCATATTGCTCCAAATGAAGAATTGTTATAAATTAAACTGCAAGCAGTAAGAATTTTTTTATCTGTTTTTCTGTTTATAGTCTGGTTAATTTAATTTGATTTTAAAAAGATAATCAACTTAGACTTGTCATCTACCCCCAGTGTTTTTGATGCTAAAAGTCCAAAAACATTTGGGTCAAAGAAACTATCATTTTGCTGACAAGCTGCCAACAAGCTCTATTCTTTTATTGCCTGGTTTTACCTATATTTCTTCCAGGTAGGTCCCCTCTTTTTTTCCCCCTTACCTACTAGTCAAGGGGTCATAACATGGCGATTCCAGAAATACTAGAAGAGCTCTCCTTTAATTTACTGCAAAAGTTATCTACAGCGTTATCTAAGAATGCATTTTGAAAAGTAATACTATATAGCCACTTGTTGGGAGGATGAAGCTTTTTGCATTACAGAAAACATACTAAGCATTCACAGAACAGAGCAGTAAGAGCTCTCTTGAGATTTAAAGCAGCAACACATTCTTGGAGGAAATCATAAGAGAAAGATACTAACTTTTGTGGATAATCAGCTTCTCCAGCTTCCTCTTGGCAGCAGCTCTCTCCACAATCTTCTGATCAATAGTATTTGCTGTCACAAGACGATAAACAACCACAGGCTTTGTCTGGCCAATTCTGTGACACCTGTCTTGGGCCTGCAAGTCCGACTGGGGGTTCTGAGCAGATAAAGAAACAAGTTAGCTACACAGTGAGCTATGAGAGTCAGAGAAGAAGCAATAAGCAGGGCAGCTATGGTATGATAGAACTCCACATCTCTTTACTCTTAAACTCATCCATGACAAGCTCTGCTGCTGTAGCTGCACAGCCAGAGTAACCCAAGCAACTCAGACTGCTTCTGCATTATGTGCTACAGTTTTCAACAGACAGACATGTTTTGTATCACAAATTTAGCTGAGGGTGTTAGTGCAAGGGTTTTTTTGTTGGAGGATAAGAAAAGGGATTTTAAAAAGTTTTCAGCTGTTTCTGAAGTTGCTTTAGCTTTCCTGAAGCTAAACAGTCATGCAAACAGCAGAGCTGTCTATTAAAATAAAGATGCAGAGGTCTTCAGTCATTTCCTTCCATACCTCTCTTCTTCCCAGCCTCCAGACTCACAGGAGCAGCAGAATCCTAGCTAGCTAAAACACACGTGGCAAGTCACAGGAGGAAATTCAAAGGGCTGATACTAACATGGCAACTGTTGGAAACAGGGAACTTGTAGAAGGTCCAGCAACATTCAAGCTTTAATAAATAGAAGGAAATGTATCTTCAACAGTAACAAAACCCCCTCCCTGCTTTTGGTATAACTCAGGGGCAAACAGGCTAGTTTTGGAAACCAACTCTAGCATTATATTTGATAAGCTAGGACTTTTCAAACAAGGCTGCATATTTCATATATAACATGTTTGCATACACTACTTACTATTGTCTTCATGTAACACCTCCTTAAAGTTACAGAAATGGTCTATACCATAATGGGTTAGCAAACGATTATCAAAAGCAGCAATAGAGAAAGCATTTTATGCCACATCACTAGGTTAACAGTCTGTCAACATACCCAGTCACTATCGTATATGATAACTGTGTCCGCCGCAGTTAAGTTAATGCCCAAGCCTCCAGCTCTTGTACTCACTAAGAACACGAAGACTTCAGGGTCAGTATTGAATTGATGCATCTGGAAGAGAATTTGTCTATTAAAAACCAGCAGATGGATCAAACACAACATAGCTAACATTTTAAGAGACCTGTGTTTAAAACAATGAACACCGACAAAATACAGCATACACTGTCAGAGGCCAAACTAAGACTTCATGAAGAATTGCATGCATTTGGTACAGGACAAGACCAAGAAGTGAAGCAATTCCACTTTCTTGTCTGATTATTCCAGTCAATGAATTGTCTAACACACAGAGTGAAGATGACTATAGTGAGGTGTGGTCCAAATCGCATCCACCTCCACGTAACCTACCATCCAGCGATGAGCACGGTGAACACAGTCCAAGTTGGCAGAGTGTAAAAACACACACACTTCTGTGACAAGCAACAATCTAAAAATACTGATGCCAACTTGACTGTAACTTCCAGCCACCCTGTATACCTCCTCCTCTTACTTCAAAACTAAGAGTAACTTTCTGCCCTCCTACTGAGCATCCAGCCTACTTTCACTGCAAGATGTTTCCAAGTGTCAGCACAGCTCTTACCAGGTCTGCAATACCAGTCAAAACCTAGTTTTAGTCTGACCACCCACATGGTGGTAGAAAAATATAAGTGTTTAATAACTGTCAAGACTTTGATCACAGCAGAGAAAAAGAAACCGTCACCCCACTACCTGGTGGAAGCAGCTACTCTCTAAGAGCTCTCTAAAAGCCCCGTATCCCCTCGGTTCTCCTAGACATCAGCATCTGCAGCACCAGCAGCAAACCACGGAGCTGGGAAGAGCCTTGCTGAACTTAGACTGGTGACCTGGAAGATTTCTCTCATCCTGCACCCATACCACACTATGGTAGGCACACAATCAACTCCTAAAAATCCCCACAAGCCAGCAGCACAGAATTTTACCAGCTTATTAAAAGTCACTATAGCTTGCTGACATCTTGCTAGTTAACCTTTCACCTTTAAGAATCGGCTCTAACAGTAGCACTCTGAGGGTTTAGGGGTTTGGTTTTCCTCAGCCACATTGTGGCACAGAAAAAAAAAAACGGGGCAAAGGGAAGCATAACTTGAGGTAGACGGTCTGTCATCTGCCACTGTTCTTTATCTTCATAAACACTAGTGCATACTTTGGAGGCCAGATGGCAATTCCAGCACATCCCCTAGATACATCCTGCATACTTCCTCCATATAGGCATTGCTCTTTTACATCCCTGCAAGCCCTCAGAGAGGTGGTTTTCCAGAATCACCCTGCATGGCTGCTCTTCATGATAAATACATGTCTCAGTAGTACAGCATTCTGTGGTTACCTGAAACGATTACAAGTATGCAAAAACAAAGGATTGTGCTGGAACAAACCCATGTGCAATTTCAGGCTGAGTTTACAGGTGTCCCACTAGGTACAAAACCTCATTTCCTGGAAGTCTACTTTATTTGGCATTAGATTTGCAGTATGCTCTCATAGATGCTAACATCACATCCTGGATGCTAGGAAACAATTATGTGCAGGGGTAACACTGGGGTTAGCACCTGCCACAATCTAGATATATTACATACTTCACATCTGGGCAACAGAGTATTTGAGCACCCATCATTCTAGGCATACCCCAAGATATTGGTTCGTAATGCATTTCACTGTTTCAGTATTTCTGAGCTGCAGACATTAAAGCAACAGCAAGGATGTCAGTTTTCAACACAGATGTCTTTTGCCTATAACAGGCTAAATGCTGTGCAAAGTCATGTTCCAGTGTCACAGGAAGAAGCAGAAGTCACTAACAGGTTCAAAGGGCATGTATGTCTACTTACATTTTCTTCTCTCTCTGAGTAGGACATAGAGCCATCCAATCGACTAAATTTGAAGTCTCTCAGATAGCAGTAATCCATCAAAATGTCAAGCATCATAGTCATTTGTGAGAATAACAAGACCTACGAAACCAGGAAGATTCCTTAGTACCATTTTTGGGTCTTGAAGGACAACTACGCCCACCCCACCCTCAATCATTAGCTTTACCTTATGTCCTCTCTTTTTCAGTTCTGGAAGCATTCGGTCCAAGAGTAGAAACTTGCCTGAATTCTTTACTAGATCCTCATCAACCTTGGAACAGGGGAGAGGGGAATCATATATTACAATGGAAGGATACCAAAGGTTTCCCTGACTCAGAATCACCAACAAAAGCTGTCTGAAAGCCTCTCACAGAAAACGAGCTTGTACTATCTTTTTAACTAAAAGCCTTAAGATTGGAAGCAGCACTAATTTTAGCAAACCGCAATGAATCAGTTAAATCATGATGAAACTAAAGCAAACCCCACCATTTCATATGCCCAAATAGTTTTTGAAAAACAAACAAAAAACCCAAAAACCAAACCAACCCAATTAGTTTTCATCCCATTTCTGGAAGGAGAAACCCTAATGATTTTCCACATGGAAAAGCACTGTTGTTTCTTTCCCAGCTTGCAATTAATGCATAAGGCTTCCACCTACTGGATATAAAGAGGCACTGCTGAACAAGTTACTATACATCAGCCAAGTGCCAAAAGTTCATAGGACAAGTTTTCACACCGCTACCTTACGCTCCTCTTTTGCTCAGAGGTTTGTTAGATTGAATTCTTGCTATGGGCTAAGAGCAAGGATTTAGCAACTTCTCAGGCCTGAGCCATATCAGCAGCCACCTCGATAAGCCTTAATCCACTTTCCTGAGCAGGCACTAGCTCTTGCCAGTGGTCAACTGTAAGACACTCTGCATTTTCTACACATTAACTATTTTCCCCTCATCACCCAGACTGGGCTATCTGCTTTTTATGCACAGACTTTACATTGATAAACCTTGACACCTTGCTCCTGAGCACAGCTGAATCTGTTATCATTCACTGAACAGGAAACATGACTATACATGCTCACAAAAGTACATTTAGAATGTGCAAGTAACTTCCAGTTGTTCAAGATTCTTTCAACTCAAATTACTTCATACTTTCCTGTGTTGCCAACTGCTTTGTGTAGATTAAACTACCAGCTGGCCTTTGTGATATAATTTGGATTTTTCCCCTTTTGGACAGGAGAAAGGATGCTGTATCTTCTGAGCAGACAACTTTGTTGTACTTGGTTCAGCCCTTCAATACCTCAAGCTTAGAAGTTACCACCGCACCTCCTGCGGCATGTATAATTTATGTCATGAACTGTTCACAAAGGTTAGAATTTTTTGTTTTGAAAATTAACTTTTGTGAGGAGAACTTGAGGCAGATCCTAAAACACCTTGAGTCAATGGAACCCAGCTACTGTTTGAATCCTAATGGATTCAAACTTTTCCCCCAGCAGATGAGCACTGCCATAAAGAAGAACACTATGGCATTGCTATGCAAAGGCTAAATGGGCACAGAGGCTGAACTGGTCTCTGCAATTGCTGCTGCAGGAAGCTTTAAATAATGATTCAGTCACACTGCTGGAATTCAATGGGGAGGGATATGCCAAATACATTGAAACGGTCATTCTTTACTGCCGTCAGCTCAGTCTATTGCTTTTTAAATGCCTGGAATAACTTTTCTCATAATACCTTGAATTGTTGTGTAGCAGGGTCCAATGGATATTCAATAAGATAGGGGTGATTACAACACTTCCTCAGTAACATCATGATATTCTGCAGTTTAAGGTTCACCTCTGAATCCATGGGAATGCTCACTTCTACCACTGGCCTTGAAAAGATATGTCATCTTATTAGTACAGAAAGTGCCACCTTATTATGCTACAGATACTGAAGAGAAAAAAAATAAAACCAAAATCAAGCAATGGATTCACACGCTATGTCAAATGTCCTCAAAATCCCTCAGAGTTAACAAAGCTATTACGACACAAAACTTCTTTTAGGGCCACACTTGGAACCAAAGGCACAAGGGTTTGCCATTATTGGTTTAAAATACAAAAGGGCAGTCAGTAGTAGTCAGAAGCAGAGAAAACAACTTGTGCAAGTCACCCAGCAGAAAAGGGAACAGACACAAGCCCTCTCTAGAACAAATGGTCAGATCTCCTGCATAACAACACATAAACTAGTCCAAAATCAGCTCTCTGCCTATTCCATTTCAGCCACACATACACATTGCAGGATTCACAATAAATACGGCTATTTAGCTCTTCCACATCTAAGTACTGTCTCCAATGTAAGGGATCCATACATGCCATAAAACTAATATAAACATATATTTAAGTGTCTGTTCTTGCAAAGTACACTGGACCACAATAAAAATCTAGCAAAATAAATACATTTCAACCCTGAAGATTAATCTAGTTTTCATTATGCCCAAGGGATTTTCAACCAATTTAGAGCCACCAACAGACCTTGCCAAAAACAGGAACAAACATAATTCCACAGCTCCCTCAGTCCTGAACTTCAACTCTGATTTTCATCACCAGAAAGCAACCAATACCTGTCACCAAAACAGCAATAACCGTGCTGGCCATTTGTCACCAAAACAGCAATAACCGTGCTGTTATTGCTGAACCTGGGTTCCAGGCAACAGCTTAAGCCTACATATTTTACAAAATTTAGCAAGGAAACTACTCCCTTTTCTCCAGGCTTGAGCTCAAACTTTGCTTCCAGTATTCCTGAGTAATTCTGCAAAAACCTAGGAGTTAAATGTAGTTAGCACACCAGCATTATCCCTTGTCCTGTCTTTGAGCCACCGGAAGATAAACTTGTCTCCAATGTCCGATTACATTTACAAAAGGTTTACCTGAACCTTGCAAAGCCTGCAAAACCTAGCAATAAGCCAAGGTCTTCTGCTCTTTGTCCTCCCTGCTAGCTGTAGCAAGGACCTAAGCCATTACGATGACATTTCAACTACCAAACAACTAAGATGAAACAGTTCTTCCTTGGCTGGTGCCCAGCACTTTCTTAGACCTTGAGGTTCTTCACTACCAAAATGTTTTAGCTGCGCAAAGGAATTACATTTCACACTATGACATTTTAGGTCTTTATGAATTATCAACAGCACTGTCACAGGACTTACCCAAGACCGTGACACTAATGAAAACATGGACTGAAGCAGCGATTTTATTGCTAGATCCTGCAAAGACCACAGGTCTAGGAATAAATGTCTTATAGTTAACTATAACTCTAATGAGTCAGTGAGTGATGACACAACCTAACCATCACTATCATGGCACAGCAAATATTAGGTAACAGCAAAGAAACAAGTTATAGAGCTACATGGGTAGTGATTTACAAAATGCCATTATTCTTGATCTATTTGAATAAGCAAAGCTCTGGAAGCAAACTAAAAGGGAGATATTCAGTCTACTAAAAAAAAAAATAAATCTTTTAGGGCAGGTACCTCTCTTTTTCTACTTCCTCTTGCATTTTGCTGATCAATTTTTCCAAGTCATCAGGTGAACCATCATGTTCTTCGCAATAATCAACCAGTTTTCGGCTACGGCGTTTTGGTCGGCCTGTAGGACTCAACTCAACTACTTCTTCCTGTGGGAAATTATAATGTTACAATCAACAGCAAATAGCTTCAGATTCTAAGCCCTGTGCTGACCCAAGAATTCTCAATACTGAAAAGAGACCTCAGTGATATGCTTCATAAATACTAACTTAGACCCAGCAGCTGTAAATTTTGCTAAGTAGAAAATGCAGCCCAAATTTTAAAGGTCTATAATTGCGGATTTTGAAAGCTTCTGCTTGATTTTTAAAGGCTGCATTAGTACCTTACTGATTTTACAGCAGAAACACAAGCTTTTTCTCACAAGCTTCAAGTTATCAAGAATATATTTACACTCGTATTAGTTTTGTGTCCACTGAGGCTAGTCACAGTAACTGCCATTGAAATAGATAACAAAAGGATCAGACTAAAAATTTAAGCAAAAAGTGTGTTTAGTTACAATGGCAATGAAGCAATACTAATGTGTTTTTGCCTACAAACTATTAACAGCAAGCACATTTCTGACATCCATATTAGTATATACCTCATTATTTCCAAACAGTTTCCTAATGGTGCGATTTACAATGGCAGTATAGAAAGTTTCTTGCTTCTTTGCCAGTGGTGCATATACCACAACTTCTCGTTTAGGAGGAACCTCAAGAGCAACATCAGATTTCAGCCTTCTCAGTAAGAAAGGTGTCAGAATCTGAAACGTTGAGCAGAGGTGTTACAATTACTCAAAGCTCTTAATAAGGCCAGTTTAAAAAAAAAAAACAAACACACAAAACAAACAACAAAACCAACACACAAACAGGTCTATTGATATGCTATTTTGACAATTTAAAGCAAAGGAGTTAATTTGCAGAGTTCCATATTTCATTTTTTTAATATTGATGCCTACTCCAAAACTTTTACGCACATGTTGGTAATACATGTGTTTACAACACATTAAAAAAACTTGAAGTGTTTAATAAAGGTGCAGTAGTAACAACTTTCAGAACTTTTAAATAATTTTCATTAACTGAAAGTAATTTTATTATGAAACAGCTCATTATTATTGTTATATTTCTTAAATCAAGTTTTTCTAGGAAAGCCCCAAACCTTTAACAGAAATAAATAATAAATTGCCATTGAGAATTATATCTAGAAGATATAAATTGTATCTTTCACCATCAGCTTATGATGGGAAAATAACAGTTCTTTAAGCATTTGCTTCTACACCTCCCCTTAAAAAAGTTTTGAGTGTTAACTTGGTTTTGAAGACAGGTGCATTATACAAGTAGTTTGTCAAAAACTATTCTGTTCAAAACCTAAAAGTTGCATAAATTTCCTCAAAGTTACCTTTCAACAAAATAAATATACCAATTAAATCTTTTGGCAAGCGGTAAGTAAGCAACTGCAATTAAGTTTGACTAAACTCAATTCAGTTTCAAGAGTAAAAACGAGTTGTTATCAGAGAAGTATATTGTTCCTTTCAGCATTTGTAAGTGCTGTAAACATTGAAAAAAAACCAAAAAGCACTGTAAGTCTAAGAAGTGCCACAATAAAAGCCTTGAGCCCACAATTCAGCTCCACAAACAAGATTTTGACACACTTCAGAACAATGGTCAGCGTTAGAAATAAACCATGAAAAAAGCAACACAAAGTGAAAACCTGATGCAGCATATGCAAGATGTTTTGTTCCCTTTCTTTAGCAATAATATCTTCAGCAGTTTCTGTAATACTGGTAATATCAAACCAGGATTCAAAGCTATGAAAACAAAGGAAAAAAATAAAAAAGAAAAGTTTACTTTATAGCTATTATTCTTCATTATTTAAGTATACTGTTCTTCTCTTATCCTGCTATTTAAGAAAAACGAAGCACTAATCCATCACGAACAGAGGGTGAACAGGAAGTATTTATGAAATACCCCTGTCAATTCAGATGCTTGAGGTTTTAAGTGATGGGTAAAAATACTTGTATAAGTTGGAATAGACACTGATCTATTACATTCAATCTAGTCTACAACTTTTTCCACAATTAGTCTAAAGACTGTTTTGGCAGTGCTCTTCCACCTCACCCCCTACTGCTTCAGAAACTGATCCGTCTCTCGTGGGTCCTATGTCTGCCAGCCTCACACAGCTTTCTCCAGCACCTCTGAGAATCTTAAGCAGCACCAGGCACTTATGATTAGACAAACATCTCTCCCCCAAAATACTCGTGTCTTGGCTCAGAGTTGAGCTTCCACTATCCATAGAGCTGACAATTACTTTCTAAAACAACTAAGCATGAAGGCAAGATACATTTCAAAGCCTTGACCAACAAATAATCATACCAAATTACAACCATACCATAAAATAGCTCTTCACATGCTGATACAAGTTTAATTATTAAAGAGTCACAATAATGTCTAAACAGAACAAAGAGGAATAGTTTTCACCATCAGATCACATCTACCTTTTTAAATCATCAAACACATCTGGCAACAGGAAGTTAAGCAATGACCAAAGCTCTGCCAAGTTGTTTTGCAGGGGAGTACCAGTCAACAGGAGTTTATTGTCTGCATTAAATCGTTTCAGTTCTCTGATAAGGCGGCAGTTCATATTTTTAATCCTATGACCTTCATCCACTATCAGGTATTTCCAGAAACAGTGCTACAAAAAGAAAGGATATTTCAGTAAATTGTAACTTTACTCCATCAAAACACATGCCAAATCAGATAAGCAGCACTTACAAGACTGTCTGATACTGCCCATTACAAAGATTTTATTTGCTGTTGTTTCTCACTTTGCCAGACTAGAAGAGTGGAGTAGAAACTGTTAAATGCCACACATGTGCTTCATGATGACTGCATTCAGAAAGCTTAGGTGGTTACAATAAAACTCCTACAAGAAAAGTCGCCTCGCTGAAACCACCACTCTGATGTTAACCATGATATTGATAGACTAAGTACAGCTTTTACTACAAGCCTCCCTCATCATCACCTAGAGAGGTAATGCAAAGAGCAACTATACTCTAACTACCTGCTTACTTCACTTTTTGGATAGCATTCTGTTTGAAGAACTTAACCATAAAATTCCAGAGCCACTGTTACCCAGGAAAAAGTGAATGCAAATATAAATGCTACAGTACGGCACTTGCACAGGCAGCATGTGGGATCTTTTTACTATATTGAAATGCATTGCTATTAGTGATGAAGCATTCAATCTGTCCTAGGGCTTTAAGAACTTATATACCTGCAGGGCGTTTCTGTCTCGCATTGCTATTTCAAAGGAAGTAATGACCACAGGATGGATTTGCAGAGATCCTTGTCGCCCATGAATTTTACGAACCAGTTTACGACGTTCCTG